GGGGGGGGGGGGAGAGAAAAATCATTCATGTCTTTACTTTGAAAATATAATTACAATGAATTAAATGAATTAATCTATTCCTTCAGACCACTGATCTCAGATGCAGGTCTAGCAGAGGAAGATCTATCAGTAGCATATAAAAACTGCATAAACCTGACAAATAATCGTCTGTTCCAGCCCAGGGTAATGAATTAGGCTGGTGACTTAGGATGAGGAGAGGAGCTGCATATTTAGATCAATCCTCTAAACAACATGCAAATTTTCTAGAGTAATTTAAAGAAATCAAACTTGAAAGCAGAATAATTTAATGCAGCCAGGTTACTTTTAAAGCTTCCTCTGTAACATTTGCATTGTACCCAAAAGTGAGAACTGTGAAGGGAAATCCCATACCACCTTGCCCATACAGATGAAATTTGGCATTTGAAGACACACAGAAGTAGGATTTAAACTCAATGGTCTTTTCCAACCTAAGGGATTTTACAATTCTAGGATTACTATTTTTTAAGTCATGAAGTGACACAGTGGTATGAATCTTTGGAATATCTAATCTAACCCCTATTTCTACATTCTCTGTACCCCTTAAACTAGGATATTGTTAGAGCAGTTTGGAGAAGAAAAAAAACAACAACAAAAAAAAAAACCAGCCATGGTTTACTCATTCCCATTCTTACTCATTCTATATCATAAAACATCCCAGAGTACTTCAGTGGACAAGCATTTCTCATTTGTATGAGAACACCAAAACCAAAAACACTTAAGGGTTTTTTTTCCTTAGGATGAAACTACTATTTTATACACAGGGTGTATCTTTGCTTATTTCACACACAAAAGCATTTTTGTAGTGATGATTTACTCTCTGATATTCCCACCCCATAATTATAGGTCTCTCCCAAGTAAAACTTTTCTCAAGGTTGGAATTAATAAATTATCATTCAAATTTTGACATAATTACATGAAATCAAATAGATAGAAAGTGCATGCTGTTCTGATTTCTTGAATGTATTACATTTTGTTGAATTTGTAGGCTGGAATTTCAGAAACATGATTACCATAATTACTCTATGAAAGAAAGAAAGCAGTATCATTTTTTACTTTTTCTAAGCAAGCCTACAAAATTATTTCCCATTGCATTTTAAGTATATTCCTCTGGTATGCTTTGCACATAGTCTTTCTGGTCTTCAGACTTCCACAGTACTTAGTTTTGTCCACATGTGGACAGCAGACCTGTTAATTAATCCGAGCTGTTAACTGATCTGAGCCATTAGCTCATCTGAGTTCTGCTCTCCATGACTTGATTATGGCTGTTACACAGTGCTCTATTTGCATGAATATTTGCACTCTAAGGCCCTTTTCTCCTTCCCATACACTTATATCTGCTTGAGAACTGCAGTTGGTGAAGCAGCATTTCAAAGCTTGCCATGTGGATACAAACAGTTTCAATCTTTCCAATGCACATACACCACTGTACAGAACAGAGCTCTGATTTTAAATGGTGTTTTATTACCAGGTACTGTATAAATTTAAGTGACTTTTTAACCACATCAAGTGTGCTGTCATCAAGTGACTATTCCATGAATGTTCAATACACTGACACAGAACAAACTTGACGACTTTGTTTTATACATCACTGTGATTATGAGCTGCTCACAGGGCATAAGTGTAGATGTTGTTAGAAAATAAAATAATGATCAAATAAAAGTTGTATGCACAAAATCAAGTCTAAAGTGGTGTTTCATCATGTTTTCCCAACCTGAGAATCACAAAATAGTATTAAAGGGAATGAGTGTGTCTGCAGGCACGAACTGATTACTGAAGTATTAGATACAAGGATGGAACCTGGGATGTTCTAAAATCAAAACTTCCACTGATTTTAGAGGATATATTAGTGCAAATACATTTTTAATAATAGTAAGAAAACATAAATAAAGTAATTTAGGTTCATACAAGACTCCTTTCCTGGTAATGCACTTCATCAAAGCTTTAAAAGAAGGGAGAAGAGGTAGTTTTTGGTGATTCTCAAGGTAACAGGGATTACTGAATGTAAAAAAAAGCTTGGCTTGATGATACAAAGGGCTCAGCTATTTGTGAGAAAAGTGACTAAAGTAATAAAAAAAATGAAACAAAGACAATAATTAAACTGAATACACAGTTCAAAGTAAATTTCATCTCTTTTTCCACTCATAACAAAATGGCATGACAAATTCAGTTTGTATTCAATATCTACTTTATTTCACTGTCAAATAAAAGCTTTCAGAGTGATAATTCTTACACCTGGCTAAGTGACAGAACTGGGAG